TTGGGCTTTCCTCCAGATCAGTTTGACTGAGCAACCGTTTGTTTTGGGTTTTCCCCCAGTTTAGCAGCTCCTATCCTTCCGCACACCCTGTGGAACATGGGACTAGACCGTACATCCAGCATGCAGCGGCTGCATGGGGTGGAGTCTCTGACTAATGACTGTCTTCTCTAGAGGACCAGGTTAGGGGTTTCCCTTTGCTGGTGGGGGAGGGGCAGGGTAGCAAGTCCCTCAGCAAGTTGCTCCCCAGCCCCAAAGGTTCAGACACTGTTGCCTTTGTTCTGAGATCCACGAAAGTCGCATGCTTTCCTCCTTGCCCGGGTGCCCTCCGGAGTAGCTTATTTGGCTACCCTGCATTCTTTCTGTTGCTGGGATGTCTGCAAGGGGAGGAACAAGGGTAAATCTAAGAGCCTGTCTGGAGTTCAAGGACAGCTATCCAGAGTACTACCTGTGTAGTCTGGCTGCAAAGTCTTAGCCTTAATTTTGTCTGCCAGCTGTTACCAAATCATACACACACTGGAGGGAAGTTAGTTTTATCATCTGGAAAATGGGGTTGTCACAAGGTTTGGGTTTTTTTTTCCATTTTGAAAGGTACACGAGGGTCGACAAAGTGAATTCATCTCAACATTACAGAACTTTCTTTTTTAAAAACCCCAGCCGGTCTTTGACTTTTTAAAATCTTCTCATAATGCAGCATACAGGGTCACAGACAGGTTCAGTCAGATGTCATTTCCCATATCATTTGTACCACACTCCAGTAGGTTCGTCTTCGGGTCACGTTACACAAGATAATAGATCAACAGCAGTGTGTTTCCTAAGCCACACGGCATGGTTCGTGGGGTTCAGAACGTGCTCTTACACAGACTGAGGCCAAGGCCGCTAGTCAACGAGCCTGAAACTTGGCTAGTTATGATTCACAAGGTCAACAAGCTCCGTGTAGGTGATCTGGGTATAACAGAAGAGCTTCTTTAACGGGTCTTCTGCAAGCTTCACTTCTGAAGAGTGTTTCCTATCGCCATGAGCCCGTGCTCCCTTCCCTTCCTCCTCCTCGGAGGGGTGATGGGAACGGAGCCTAGGCCTTGCACATGTGAATCATGTACTCTGCCACTGAGCTGCACCCTCTGCCCCTAGATGCATAATTAAATGCTCTACTTCATTACCACCTCTGCCCAGATGCCAGCCCTTGGTGCGCTGCCAGCTCCCGTCCTGTACCTCCAATTACCCACATGGCATAGCATTTTCCCTCGGGATTAGAGGATCCTTTGATCTACCTCCCTCACACGGAAATCAAGAAAGTCCAGAGAGGAAGTATAGTGTGGCTCTGCCAAATTCCCTCAATCAGAAAGGACAAAACAGGAAGTCAGACTCCCCCACTTTCTAGCGAACAGGTGAGGTGCTGTTAGCACCGTTCATGGAAGACAGGATATCCATACACAACCATATGGTGACGACCCAAGTCGTGATCCTCCAAGATCCGCCTCCTGAATTTTCAGTCTCTGTGAAACAGAAGCCCTGAGAAGATGGAGTTCACAGACCCACATACATGACTCTTTACTGCTTGCCCCCAAATGGGATTCATCAGGGGCTAACATTTTATCCTGCTGACATATGCCTGGAGGAGTGACTATGAGAATTGGCTGTCACTGTATTGTCTGAGCCTGGATCTCCTCAACTCACACTTCTTTCCCCAGCCTCTAAGGACGCACCAAACACTTAAGTTCTATTGGTGTGGTCCCTACTGGCTCCTCCTTTGGGTTCCTCATCTCTCTACTCCCCTCCCAAGCTCCAGCCCTTATCTCCTTGGACCAGAGAGAACTTCATCTCTTACTCCCGGCATTTCCTTCTTCCACCGTTTCCTCTCGATATTCTTTCAGGATACAAAGTCTCAGAAGGGGTCTCTGTATCTGCCCCTGGACACACTCCCTTATCCAATTTTGCCCTATACTTTGTTTGCCCTGCCTGCCTAGTTTACCCTGTGAATTCTAAGCCTCACTTAGACAGAAAGGTTCCGATTAGGAGCGCTCTACCTGGCTGTAAGACTCGGGACCTGAAGGCAGGCAAGTACAGCCTGCGCGCCGCTATGACAACCATGAAGGAATGCAGCGGCGGCAGGAGGCAGCAGGTTGGAAAGCCATCTCGTGCCAAGCACTGCACAGAGCGACTCATGTGCATTATTTTATTAACCTTCACAAAATCCCTATGAAGTAAGACCAATGATTAGCATCGTGTTACAGAAGCAGAAACCCACGCTCAGAGGTGTCAAGGCATTTACCAAAGGTCACAGATCCAGGACCCAAACAGATGGAATTCATATGTAATTCTATCAGACAGCCAAGCCAGGTTCCTAACCTCTAGGCTGTGTTGCCTTAAGGCTATTTTCCTCCTCCTCCAGCCCCTCACTTGGCTCAGACTCTCATTTGCGAGTTTTTGTGTTATCAGCATTTTACTTAGCTTCCTCTTCTTCGGTGAGCATCTTTCTTGTCCCCGGTCACACAGTAAGCCATGAGAACAGGAATTACATTTCTGGGCCCTTAGAGGTTTCGCTCCATGTGTACACTGTTCACGGAACAGGAGACTAAAGGACTCCACCTGCCGTTAGTTTGCTTTTCTTTTTTTTTTAAAGAACTCTTCCTTGAGTGTATTCCCCTCCCAGGACGGCAGGGAGGTAAGGAATGTACCCCAACGAGAGGAGAAGACTGCATTCAGGACCTGAATCTTCTAACCAGGCAGAGAACCTTTCTGTGTGTCCTTGGGGCACTACACATGAAAATCACATACTAAAAAAAAGGTTTTATGCACCACTTTTAATTTTATTTTTTTTTTAAAAATCCACCTACTGTATGCAAATGGCCTTCAGGCAGTGCATGCAGGATACATATGAAACACAGATGAATTCTGTGTTTGGATTTGTTTCCCTCATCTACAATGTCTCTTATATAAACATTTCAAAACCCACAAAACCTGAAACTCTGAACACTTCTGGCCCCAAGCCTTTTCAGATAAAGAACGCTGGTTTGGTTCTGTATTTGCACATGCTCTGTCTAGAGACAGGCCCGGCAGCATTGCTGGGCTCACGTGGGCATTTGGAAGCTTTTACTCCTGAGGCTTTTGCACGGTCGCAGATATTCCAAGGGGAAGTTAAAGTTCTCCCAACTCCTCTCCTAGGAACCACTGTGGGGCCGCATTACTTTCCTGAGGATGATAAATGCAGTCACACAGCCCTGTTTATACATGACTACGGTACGTCTGCTAACTGATCCATGTGAAATTACCACCGCGGGACCACACAGATCATTCTGTATATGGAAAAATGTTAACTTGGGGCTCAGTCATCAGGAAGCTGGTAGACATCAGGTTAGTAGTCATCCTCTCTCTCTCTCTCTCTCTCTCTCTCTCTCTCTCTCTCTCGCTCTCTCTCTCTCTCCCCCTCCGTTTTTCGCTTGTCCTGACATTCTGGGATATCAATTAAGACGATGTGTTGGTCTGAATTCATGGCAGTCCTAAGTTTCTAGAATCCAAGAAACAAAATGCTAGAAAAGCTGCAGGTGCCATCCCTGGGTAAGACACAGGTCTGCTAGTGGGCTCTGCTGCTTCCTGCCATCTCCATCCCAGAAGCTCTGTCTTCTGTAAGGCCCACACCTGTCTACAGAGGCCTTCACATGCTCCGGCCGCACCTGTGCCACCTCCCTCTTTCCTGCTCCCAGAGGAAGCAGCAGCCAGCCTCCTTGTCCCAGAGGTCCCCCAAAGTCACCTCTACCTCCCAGTCCCTCACCTTTCAAAGATGTCCATGCCGTTTGTGTGCCTGGCATGTTAAACACCAAAGGTTTCACAGAGCCCCAGCCCCCAGGGTGAGGGGTGGGGTAGGCAGATGGCCTGCATCCGGAAGCCATCACCAGCTCCCCGGCTATGTTAGCAAACTACCCCCCCCCCCGCCATTTGTTACAGGGGAAAGTGACAGCTGTACATTTTTGTTTCCTCCCCTTTTAGTCTCTTACAGGACCGCCTGGAATGGAATTGAAGCTAATGAAGGAGGCTGGTAGGCAGACAGGCTTGCTCAGCCCACTCAGGTGGTATCTCTGTGACTGTCGCCAAAACTACTTTGAACCCGAGGAATAGCTTTGTGTGTGGAGACTCAGAAAGCACACCCCTCCTAAAGGCAGGGGCCCAGGAACTGTGGCCATCGCTTAGGAAAGGTTCACAGTTATTAGGCCAGTTCAAATACGGAGCGTTGGAACAAGTCTGCTTCTGAACTACGGTGACAGTGTGTGGGTGTGAGCATGGTAAAAAACAAAACAACAACAACAACAAAAAACTATGCAGAGCTGTTCACACTTGCTCTTGCTCTATGCAAAGGAAATTAAAGTCTGAAGGCTCAGGTCCATAGACTCCACTGAAGTCAACTTCCTGGTGTTGCTAGGGGACTAGGGTGACGTAGAATGTTACTGCTAGGGGACTGGTACAGGGGACTTGTCTACGATTTCTTGACATCTTGTCAAGCAATAGTGACGTTAAAATAAAATGTGTAGAGCAGACAAATGAAAGCCAAGTGCGGTGGGAATGGCCTTGGACTCATGTCCCCAAGGTCCTGGGACATAAGTTCTAAAGCTATTTCATAAGAGGTTGGAGACCAGCCCGTTTAGAATAATGACGTCATCACCATCATCGCCACCGTCACTACCACCATCATCATCGGTGCTAGAATTTGTTGAATACTGTGAATGAGACGTTTCCTTCTTTCTCCCCCTCCCTCCCTTCCATTTTCCTCATTGCATACAACACCTGTACCAGACTCTCATGCCACAGAGGGCCCTGGGAGAAGCTAGCTGGCAGCACAATCAGGCAGTTTTGGTGCACACCGGCTCTGACCCAGGAAGAACAAACAGGGCTTTGTGGAGCTCGCCACCTTCCCAGCCAGCTGATGTGCCCTCTTGTTCCTCACTCCCACATTGGCCAGAGACCCCAGAGAGCTCTATCTGCGCCAAAGTCACAAACACAGCACTTACAGGTTCTTCACGTCTGTGATGCCGCGGAACGCCTTCCTCGGGATGCCCTGGATCTGGTTCTCGCTCAAATCTCTAAACAAGAAGAGAAGAGGCAAACCAGTTAGACGGAGATCGCATTCTCTGCATCTCATTACGATAACAAAACCCTTGGAGGTTGCTGGTGCTGCCCACCAGAAGTGTTTGAGGGGCTGTTTAGTCTCAGGCCCCTGGCTGTTACAAGCCTGTGCATTGTTCTGCAAGTGAGAACTTTAGCAGAAAAGGTTACTAGGCTGGGAACAGCTTGCATGTGTGTGTGTGTGTGGGGGGGAGGCACTGTGGGTGGTCTCACATTTCCAGGCCACAGCCAAGACTCCAGGTTATTTGTTACACACACCACACCCCATTCAGTTTTGGCACTTCCCAGAGAAAAGAGAAGACCCTTACTCCCCGCCCCCCAAGACATTCCTCCCAACTCAAGGTCAACACCACTCTATCTTCCATTTCTCAGGAAGTCCTTTTGCCCAAGTTCCCTGCTCTTAGCATTTGGGATTGGAACTGAGCCTGGTCACTGGGTTTTCTGATAGGGAAAGAGGACCTCTTCTGCATTTCCACACAGTCCATCCAAAATGGGGGTCTCGCCCCTCATTCTGCACTGAGGAATGCCAACACGCTGGCTGCTTCGAAGTGGATATGCGGAGTATGGCGTGTGACTGGCTCCAACCCAAATCTTCTCCAAGGATTTAAGTATCTTCCAGAGCCTCGATTTCCTTCCCTTCCCTGCAGGCCTTTTTGGTTTGTTTTGTTCTCTGGTTTCATTTTTATTTTTTTGCTAGAGCAAACACGTGCATTTGTTTTCATTCAGACCTCAAGCCTGCTTGGATCTCAGCGAGCAATCAATCCGTAAAGACCCATCTGAGCCCCAGGCGCTTGAGGCAGCTCCGCCAAACACTGCAAGTGGCAAGGCTATTTCTGTGCAGCCACACGCTGCAGGAGCATCTGCAAGGAGGGCAGGGGGAAGGGGACGCATGGGTGAAGATGGGACTGTCCGACTGCCGCCTCTCTGTGCTTCTTTTTAGATATGAAAGGTATATACCACATATACACAAATATACATGCCTGGTAGTTTGAAAAGAAACCCCCCCAAAAATAATGAGGGGGAAAATTCAACCATAGACTGTAAACACTGCTAACAATTATGCACAGAGCACATATATTTTTACTGATATGACCTCCTAGTATAAGGTCTATTCTAAACCATTTTTCACATGCTCTATTGAGAACATCTGTCTATGTCTCTACCAAGTGCATTAATGCCAACATTTTTAATGGCAGCATAGTATCTAATTGTATGGTGCATTGTATGACTGTGATTGTTAAGCGGGTATTGGCTCCTCTTCTGCCACATAAAGAAACATGAGATGGGCAAGATGGCTTAGCAGGTAAGGAACTTACTACCAGATCCAACATCCTGAATTTCATCTCTGGAACCCACATGGAAGGAGAAGTGAACTAATTCCTACAATCTACCCTCTGACCTTCACACATGTGCCATAGCATGTGTACGCACACACATCATGAGCTCACACACAAGATGTGAAAAGAATTCTTTAAAAACGGAAATCCCAGGCCACGTTTCTCCATTGACAGCCTTGGGGACACGTCTCAGGAACTCGCTCGGCACGAGGTCCTACAACAAGACCTTGCTGGCCGCAGGTTAAGCACATCCTTGTCGAGTTCACCTGCAGAGAGATTTGTGAGGGATGGATGCTCACAAGCTGGTTTTTGAGACCACCTCCTCATAGGCTACTGAGGACTTCAAACATACATGGAAGTAAATGGCAGACAGCCACGGTCTGCGGAAACTCGGGCAATCTACAGGGACGTTTTGCAAAAACGGAGGAGGGGAAATAAGAAAGCAGAAGAGAGACATCATCCGTTTTTTTTCTTCTATCACCTGCTGATAAATGACACATGCTTTGAGCAGCTGGCTGAACTTCAGGATAGCTGGGCTAGCTTTGGCTACTTTTAGGTTCCACAGGCTTACTGTTGGGGTAGGGTGTCCCTGTGAGTCCCAGACACCTCTGGGGCTGCCTAGCAGGGTGCTTCCCCATCTCAAATTCAGTTTCCCCTTTCTACCACTGACGTAAGTAAATTCTGGTGCATAATGAGCTCTGTTGCAGGCTCCCCCAGCCAGGCCTGATTCAATGAGCAGGGCTCCAGCCTGGAGTCAGGGCACTGAACAAAAGCCCACGATGACAGGCAGAGGTCAGGCAGTGTCACCCAGGCCACTCGGCTGCTCTCCATCAGCCTCTACAGAGGGGCCCAGGTCCTGTCATCCGACTAATGCAATTTCCACCAGGCATCTGGGCGGCCGTGGAGGCTCCCGTGGCCACAATGGGCCCAGTCTTTCCTGTCGAGGCCTGCCGGTCTCCGGACCACGAGCTCCCTGTTTAATCCCCTCTCAGCTTTTGCTGTTATCCTTGGCTGCTAGGGAGAGGAGGTCTGGTCACATGGCTGATAAATGAGAAAAGTCAGGGAAAGGGGGGAAGAAATCCAATAGAAAGAAGGTTTAGAACTGGCTGCTTTAACCACTGCTGGAAGCCGGGAGAGGTGACACCTATTCCAGAGAGGGCGTTACCTATTTGGACATGCACTGAAATATTCTGGGGAAGTATGGTTGTGCAGAAGTTCTGCCTGAGAGTGGGGTGATGAAGAAAGGAACATGGGACCTAAAAAGAGCGAGATGGTGTACTGAGGGGAGCCCGTTCTCATAGGCTGGCCCTCGGGTAAAAGCCTGTATTTGGGTTAAACAGCTGCTTTGGTTTTTCTGGTCCCACATCCTTTCTATACTTGTGTCCAGCTTTCTTTAGACTTTAGAGAACCCAGCCGAGGCACAGTTTTCTTTCCCGTCTCCTGGCCACTGTATTTGCCCTGCCCAGACGGAGTAAAACAGCAGTCAGGGAATTTATCTGCTCCCCGTGACAATCCGCTTGTAAATTTTATTAATTTTATTTTCTACCGAACCTCTCTTCTATGGCTAACAATGCCGCAGCCACGCATCTGCGGGATTGTATATTGATTTCATAAATACCTCCAGTGAGCTGACAAACTGACAGATTTAATGGTGTTACTGATGGGGCGTGGAGGAGGGCTCAGGGCTGGGTGCTTCATTTTCGGTAACCATCCCTTTACAATTATCGCAGGGCCTTTGTGAGGTTTCCTAATAGTGTGTTTATCTCAGTGTGATGTCTGAGCACAGAGCTATTGCCGAGTCCGATCCTCCAAGGAGACAAGAGCCACCATTTTGGCTGACAATTAAATAAAAATAACAAAATCTATCCATGATGCATGAGAGCCTAGTTCTCGTCAATTGCTTGTTCGGGTTTTAGTGTCTATGAGAAAGAACCATGCAGAAGTGACCAGAATGGCATCCCTGCTCCCCCAAACAGAAGGAAGGCACAGGTTAAAGAAAGGTCCCCCAAACAGAAGGGAAGCAAGGGCAGAAAGGCTGAGCTGGGCAAAGGGTGCTGGGCTTTTCAGGGTGCCAGGAAGAAAGATGGCAGGTCGGGAAGGCTTTCTTGGTTGGGAAGTGGGCTATGGATCAGGATGCCTTTTTAAATAATTAGGCCTCTGAAAGCTAAGAAGAGCTGCATTAGCTAAAGTGCAGTTCCCAGCTTCCGGAAAATGATTAGCCGCCTGATTATTCCGTCCCAAAACACAGGACCAAAGAGGACTTACTAAGGAGACAGCAAGTCAAATAGGAGTTGGCAAGAATGGACATATCCCACATCCAGCCAGCCCTCCCGTAACCCTTTTAATTTACTAAAATGCTTTGGACACAGATTAACTTTCTTGGCAAATTTATTATTGCTTCATCTACCTTGAAACAGGAACCGCGGACACTTTGATAAATGGATTGAAAGGTTGTCTAGTTGCAGAGAAGCCTTTGAAATGCTTCCGGGGGGCTTTCCCCGCAATGTCAGGCATGCTTTGTTCTCAGAGCAGCAGTGAATGACGGTCCTTGCTTCCATCCCTACCCCTGTAGGACTTGAGCTGAAAACACTCCGGCGGGTATACTGGTCCCGAGTACGTTTATTCCAACTTGCCTGGATTAAATGGTAGTTTAGATGTGGGGATGGGGGTGGGGGATGGGAGGTAGGCTTTGAGGTTTCGAACCCAATGATTATAAACTTGTAAGACGGGTGGGAACTTCCAGAAACATCGTGAATGCTTGCTTCAGAAGTCCACGGCACGACTTCTAAGTTGTATGATCATTCAAGTTGGTTCGATACTCTGATTTAGTTCCCTCATCTTTCAGATGGGGGTTGCTGGTTTACCAGCTTCCTCAATTTTGGGGGCAAACTGTGGGCACATGTAATGAACGCACTTTGTGCACTCGGCGCACGGGGGACATTCTGCAAATGGGGCTTTTACTTCCTGAGCTTCTTCCTCCTCTAGGTTTGGGTTTGTGTAGCTAAAAGTGTCCCCAGTCATCACCCACTGGACACGAACTTAAAACTGGGCACAGAATAAAACACACTAGTGTTACTTATATTCCTTCTATAAAATCTGAAGGGAGACCATGAACGCTTCCCTTGTCTAGAATCTAGAAAGGACTCTCCATATTTGATTCCAGATCACCTCATTCTGGTTGAAACAATAGAGGCTGGTTCAAGAAAAAGGCTGAGACCCTCCAGGGAAGCAGATGAGTGCCTGGCTCAGCCATCATCAGAGAAGCTTCCTCCTGCAGCAGGTGGGAACGAATAGACAGACACATAGCAAGAAAATACAGAGTGAGACAAACCTTGGAATACTCATCCCTAAATGGGATAGCTCCATTAAATCCCTCCTCTCAGGACTCATGGGGACTCAGCCAGAGAGGAGGTAGAAAGAGTGTTTGAGCCAGAGGGGCTGAAGGACACAAAGGAAACAAGACCTAAAGACAGCAGGACTGACACACATCTAAACTAAGAGAGACTGTGACAGCAGGCACTGGGCCTCCACGGGTCTGCATCAGATGGGGTCCTTGAGCTGAGAGGAGATGTGGACACACGGGGCCTCCCTCCCTAACTCAGGAGCTAGCTCCACTTAAT